CTGCTGCCGTTTTAAAATCATGCCAATTGTCACAAATCTGCTCAAACCGCGTAAGCTGGCCAGTGAACACACCTGCAGGCTGATGAGATGGAATTGTGTGACGTGGTCGACAAAAATAAAAAATAAAAAAATAAGGAGAAGAAGAAAAGGTGAAGCCACAGTCCAGGGTTTTAGGCCCGTCGGCTCAGCAGGGGTGGGCTGCCGACGTCCCTTGCAAGAGGCACTCGCCACAAAGTCTGCCCAGCAATGGCTCAGCTAGTATATAGAATGCCTCCACCTGTGAGTGTGCTCAGGGCAACCACCCTAGACACCGGGCACAGCAGGACTAGCTATTCTATTAGGAAGGGGTGTCCGACCATCGCCGGGGACTCTGTGTACAAGGTTTATGTCAAGGAGAACGTCCTGCAAGGGTGAGATGAGCAGGATACTCCGCACCTGGGTCTGGCACACCTTGGGTGGGGAGCTAACTATACTCACTACGCGAAAGGAAAGGGAAAGAAACCGCGCCCTTACCGTGACCGCCACCACTGGACATAGGCTTCTGACACAGGACGAAGAAAAAGAAACCACTGGACATAGGCTTCTGACACAGGACGAAGAAAAAGAAACCACAGCATCGCATCCCTTATCATCCCTTATCAGATTGCGTAAGAAAGGCTGTAACACCGTCCAAATTTAACAAAAGAAAACACAAACGGAACCGCCACAGACGGCCCACAAATTTTAAAAATACCATTGCCCATTGAAGGAGAAATGGCTGGCAGGGAAGGAGATAAGGGGGCAAAGACAGAAAGCAGAAAGGACAGAAAGCAGAGCAGAAAGGACAGAAAGCAGATATATATTGTCACATTGTGAATCAGAGCGCAAAAAAAAGCAGATATATATTGTCACATTGTGAATCAGAGCGCAAAAAAGGGAAAAGAAAAAAGGAAAAGGAAAAAAGGGGAAGGGGAAGGAGGTAAGGAAAGCTCCACCTGTTCATAACCTCTTACGTACAAGGCCAGCCACGTAGAACAGATATATATCGTCAAATAGTATATATATCGTCACAAATAGAAAATATATATATATATGTGTGTGTGTGTGTGTGTGTGTGTATGTGTGTGTGTGTGTGTGGTTTAAATTTGGGGCAACTGCTCTGCATCTAACACCCGCCACATTTTTTTGTCTTTTTCACATTTGGAGAGTGGTGTGCCCAAAAAAAAAAAAAAAAAAAAAAAAAAGAGAGTGGTGTGCCCAGGCCCTTAATCAAACAGGGACGAACAGAGGCAACTGCTCTGCATCTAACTACCGTAGTCACCCAAATACAAGATACGGTTGTTATAGCTGCATTTGGGGCAACTTCGAGTCTAGATACAGCAAAAAAATGACAGTACGCTGTATTCGGGTGAAGACGGTAAGTAGCTACTATTTTAGGATTTTATCATGAATCATGATATAAAAAATATACAAGCCATTCTGAATTTCTGACGCAGCCAATGGGCCTTTTTTTTGTCAGCAGCCAATGTTTTTTTTTTTTCCTTCTTTTTTAACACACAGCCAATGGGTCTGTTAAAAATTCCAAGCTTGATTAACTGAAAACGAACAAGAAAGCCAATTGACTTGCCGGCAATACAACCACACGAGAGTCACCCCCCCCCCCCCCCCCCAAAAACAACCCACTATATGTCGCAATCCACGGCTCTGCATTGCATCTAAGATTCTGAATCCACCAAAAACTGGAAAAAAATAAAATAAAAAAAAATCCACCAAAAAACACTACTCTGATGGCCAGTGCTGCGTTATCCAAAACAAGGCAGTCGATGATATGGGCAGTGCGGTTTATCGACATAAAGGCAGTCGTTGTCGGGCTCTACACGGGAAGATATATGTGCGCACAATGCAGCGGTTTCAGATGCTTAATCACCTGTGTCCTCCTCTTTGAGAAGACAAGCAACCGGCACAGAAAGTAAAGGGACAACAGATCTGGCACAAATAAAGTTGGGTGTGTGTTTGTTGGGGTCTCTTATACACATCTAGATGTGTATAAGAGACAGGAAGAAGGAGGAGAGGGAGGAGAAGGAGAAGAAGAAGAAGGAGGAGGATAAGGAGAAGAAGGAGCGAGATCAGAGAGGAGCAGCAGCCAGCAACAAATCCCAAGTGCTTCCTCAACAACAGCCAACATCAGGCCACCGACCTGACCAAGATGCCACAGGATGCACGTAACCGCAATCACATCGACAGAGAAGTGGAAAGTCATTCACCGAAAGGAAAAGTACAGAGTGACTAAAAAAGGGGCAGGTCGAGACCAAGGTGAAGAACAGAGTGAGGGCATAGTCAGACTACGACCCCTGGATGTATATGACCGCTTTTCCATCCCCACCAGGATGCACCTAACCGCAATCACCTCCACAGAAAAGTCTAAAAAGTCCTACTGTGAGTATGCCGAGAGAGAGAGACAGAGACACAGAGAGAGCGAGAGCGAGAGCGAGAGAGAGAGAGAGAGAGAGAGACAGAGAGAACGAGAGAAAGCAACAAAGGAGAACTCATCTGTACATTCAGTAGAAGAAAAATTCGAGAAAGATAGAGATGTCCAGATCAAAGTGAAATTGGATGCACCTGACCGTCATACCGCCCAGGTACATTCTGACAAGGGTAAGACTCGTTTCCAAACTTTCGAGAACACGGGAGAGAGAGAGAGAGAGAGAGAGAGAGAGAGAATCTTGCCTTTACTTCCACCCCACGAGCATCACAACTCTGCACAGAGCTTGAATCTTGACTATCAATTCTACACGCAGGCATTGATTTGCAAGCAATAGAGCTCTGGTGAAGCCAACAAAAAATAACTCAGTTCTGTTTTTGAGTCGTCTTTATTTTGACAGGACTGAACTACCGCCAAGACCCGCCTGCCAAATAAAAAGCGCGGGAACGAAGTGCGTCCGTCTGTAAGAGCGTCGAAGTGCGCCACAGATTTGTCTCCATGACTCATACTGCATTCATTTGCTCCTTCACCGAAAAAAAAAGGGCGGGAAAAAAAAGCAGAAGGGTCCGTCCTCCATATCCATTGTCCGACCAGGGGCCTTCGTTTGATTGCTCCTTCACCCAAAAAAAAGGGCGGGAAAGCAGAAGGGTCCGTCCTCCATATGCATTGTCCGTCCAGGTTCTTCATTGGCTTCCTCCTCTACCGAGGCAAAAACGGCGGGAAAGCAGAAGGGTTTCTCCATATCCATTGGTCCGTCCACGTCCTTCACTTCTCTGCTCCTTCACCGAAAAAAAAGCGCGGGGCAAAAAAAGCAGAAGGGTCCTTCCTCCATATCCATTGTCCGACCAGGGGCCTTCATTTGATTGCTCCTTCACCGAAAAAAAAAGGGCGGGAAAGAAGAAGGGTCCGCCCTCCATATCCATAGCCATTGTCCGTCCAGGTTCTTCATTGGCTTCCTCCTTCACCGAGACAAAAACGGCCGGAAAGCAGAAGGGTTCTCCATATCCATTGGTCCGTCCACGTCCTTCATTTCTCTGCTCCTTCACCCAAAAAAAAAGCGCGGGAAAGAAGAAAGGTCCTGCGTATCCATTTTCCGCCCAGGTTCTGGTTTGTTTGCTCCTCTTCACCGAAAACAAGCGCGGGAAAAAAAAAAGGCAGAAGGGTCCGTCCTCCATATCCATTGTCCGTCCAGATCCTTCATTTCTCTGCTCCTTCACCGGAAAAAAAAGCGCGGGAAAAAAAAGCCGAAGGATCCGTCGTCCATATCCGTTGTCCGTCCAGATCCTTCATTTCTCTGCTCCTTCACCGAAAAAAAGCGCGGGAAAAAAAAAGCAGAAGGGTCCGTCCTCCATATCCATTGTCCGCCCAGATCCTTCATTTCTCTGCTCCTTCACCGAAAAAACAGCGCGGTCTTCTTCTTCTGGAATCAACCTCTTAATCACCCAAAAACGCGGGAAAGTAGAAGGGGATCCGTCCTCCTTATCCATTTTCCCTCACCGAACCAAAAAAAAGCGCGGGAAAGAAGAAGAAGAAGAAGAAGAAGAAGAAGACGTGTCCTCCGTATCCACCCATTGCTCATCCGATCAAAATCAACAATCTCCATTTTCCCGCGGGAAAGTCGGAGGTCCGTCCTCCTTATCCATTTTCCGTCCACATCGTTCCTATTTCGTTGCTCCTTCCCCGAACCAAAAAAAAAGCGCGGGAAAGAAGAAGAAAACGACGTGTCCTCCGTATCCATCCACTGCTCATCCGATCAATCAATCATCAATCCACGTCCCCTTCATTTTTTTGCTCCTCCTTTTTCTTCCCCTCCTCCTCCTCCTCCTCCTCCTCCTCCTCCTCCTCCTTCTGGAATCAACCTCTCTATCACCCCATCACCTAGCACTGCATCATACAAGAAGAAGTTGTTGATTGGCAGTCCTTTCGCTGATACACATCTCATCAGCTCCTGCCCGAGGATGCCTCCCAATATCGCACACACAGCCGGCATTTCCAATGCCCCTGCCATTACTATCCGTTCGATCATGTTGTCGTCAACAGTATTATCAGATGGCACCCCTTGGGCCGCCGCCATCTCGTCCCTCAGCGCAAAGATTGCCCCCAAGTCCTCTCGTGTGATGGCCCCGGGCTGACGACTACCCCTCCGCTCAAACTCCTCAATGACCTGCATCGCGTACAAGAGCTTATGAGTCCGTTTTGGATAACGTTTCCACGGAATGGATAAGGCATCTTCGAGGCTAACGAACGTCTCGATCCGGAGTCCATCGGCCTCCCTGCCCTTAGCGGAGAACGGATGAGTCTGCAGATCGGCGAAGATCTTGCCCGACATTCCCCGACAATCGACCGAGTAAAAGGCCACTCTCGACTTCTTCTGGAGGCGACACGTGGCGTTCACCCGCTTCTGCACGACGATGGGTGCCCGGCCGAGGACGACAACATCAAATCGGCCCAAGAAATCTTCGTCCTTATCCTCCAAGCGACCAGGTTCCACTGCCACGTGGACCATCGGATTAAGTTCTTGCAAGTTGGGACCGCAGATCTCAGCCATGGTAGGTCTTATAGGAGAAGCAGCAGAGCCCGGAGGAAGAGGAGAGGAGGAAGGAGGAGGATCAGATGAGCCCCCAGAAGAAGATTGAGAGGCCATCAAGACCCCTCCACCCGGTACAAGGAGATTGGAAGAGGCCACGTCGGCAGAGATGGGGGTGTCATCAAGAAGAGTCACTGAACCTAGTCCAGCTAAAACCACGTTTTTGCAAGCCTCTGCAACCACCCCTGTGCAGCCTATAGCCAATAAACGAGCCCCGCGTAAACGCTTCTGGGCCTCGAATCCCCAAACACGAATCTGACGGTCGTAAACGGCCGCCTCTTGTTCAGATAAAGGCTTGGAGTTATCCATAACCTTATCCATATTGTTATCCGGCTTCGGTTGGTCAATAACCATTGGAAGAGAGTCGGAGTCCTCCGGCGTAACTTGGTCGGACAACACTGCACCGCTCTCCATTTGGTGTCCTGCGCTGCGTGCTGTGCGTGCTGCGTGGCAGAGCGGTGCCGAGAGCTTCTCCTGCCTGATCCTAGGCTGCCTGACCTGCTTTCGCGCAGAGTGTCCAGATGCTTCTTCCACCTGCAAGAACCGCGCGACAATCAGCCTGCTTGCCACACTGCCTTACCCACATCGATAAGCACCATCATGCCCTCTCTCTCTCTCTCTCTCTCTCTCTCTCTCTCTCTCTCTCTCTCTCTCTCTCTCTCTCTCTCTCTCTCTCTCTCTCCACAGTAACCCTGATGTTGGACAACGTGATCGCATAACCACTTTACCCTTCTCCTTTAGAACTGGTTGGGGTTCAAAATCAACAACCAAGATGAAGACGAAGATGAACGTTCACAATCAAGACCGAGATCAGGACCGGCGATTCGAAACACCAATCGACCATCCACGACGACCAGCGACCAAAGATCGCCGATCAACGACCGATGATCAACCACCAACACCCACCAATCCAATCTACAAGATCAACTCAAGGGGTTTATCCCCTAATATTGTTGTACCCATCATCATCAGGGTGGGTTCGAATTCATGATCGGTTTGTCAATAGTCACGTATGTGTAGCACTTAGCCGCATAGGCTATTTATTTCTAAGTTCCTTTTTTTTTTTTTTTTCCCTGCCCTTCGTATGCGAGGAAACGAGGAGCAAACAGCGCCCCTCGTTTCTACGGCGCCTCTCAGTACCCTCTTCTCTCCCCCCCCTCCCCCCCCTCCACCCTTCCCCGCCAAAAGCAGGGACACGGTTTGGGGGGAGGGGGGGGAGATGGGGGGGGGAGGGGGGGAGATCCAAATCTGTTGCAAAAATTGATTTGGGGATACAACGGAATTGAATTTGCATTCGAATCAAGAAGCNCACACACACACACACACACACCCCTACTCGTACGATAGTACCTCTCTCTCTCACACATCTACGTACCCATAGTCTCTCTCTCTCTCTCTCTCTCTCTCTCTCTCTCTCTCTCTCTCTCTCTCTCTCCACATCTTCCGTAAGTTTACAGGCAGAGCATAGACACAGACTTCGTGGCAGAGTAACGGTATCCCGACCCGATCCGTACGTAAGCCCTCTTCCCATCGGCAACTACAAACTACCATAGTATCCCGACCGTCCGAACTACGAATATCCCATCGCCAACGCACGCGCAAGATTGTCTACAGCCTCAGATCGGTAAAATCGATGATGAAGTCTTGCTTGATTGTTGCCTACCGTTTGCACCTGGTCACCTTTTCGCTTCCATGCACTTAACCGGCAACCTAATCCCGCTTCGATTAAAAGAAGGGGGAGGGGGAGGAGAGAGGGGGGGGAACAAAGAGAGGGCATTCAGCCAGATTCTGCCTTCAAGGCCTGCTAAGCCCTAAGGTGAATCTGCTCCTTAGAGGGAAAGGATTACTAAGTGAAACACATAAGGGGTAGAGAAGAAAACACACAAGGCAATCAATCCACCCATCAAATTCAATCAATCAATCAATCAATCAATCAATCAATTAAGTTTACCGTGATCGGCTGCTTGGAGGAAGGGCCTGCGACGCGCCAATCCCGCACCGGCTTCAATGTTATTCGCCGCGAAAAAAAGCAGGGTCGATAATATCGACAATACAATATTGACAAAACGCGACGTGACCATTCCGCAGGGCGAGGCCGGCCGCCGGCGCGCGCGCTAAGTCCCAGTCCCACTACCGGTAGCCGGGGTTTAGTCGTCCTTTCGAATGTTTTTTTTTCTTTTTTCTTTTTTTTCCCCGTATGGGGCATGGTTGGTTTTATTCCCCAGTATGGGGCATGGGCCGCGCTACGCTTCGCTGCAGTGCAATACGAAGGCAACACTGAAGAGACCGAGCAGGCAAGCCTGCCCTTATGGACCCTCCGTAGCCCAAAAAACATAATTTAATCAACATGGCCACAGTGCAGCTCTGAAGGCATTTAATACTCCAAGGAAGACTTTTTCCACAAAGCTCTGGACGCGATTGCGGCCAGATTCATTCTGGTCTCGCTGTAATTTGACCGAGGGGCGGGTTCCAGTCCAGGGGGGAGGTCATCAAGGCCAACGGCCATGACCACCCGTGGTACCCGTAGTAAGGCCGTAAAGAAGGACATCTTTGGCCGACGGGGGGAGGGGGGGTCCACTGTGCAGACGATAAAAGGCCCCACCGCTGCCACTTATGTTATATATGGCCTCCACAGGGCACACTCCGAGCCTCTTTTGGCCGACCCGGACTCCCGCGGACACCAAGCTTTGCCGAAGGGGCAGGGCGGCAGGGCTGGTGCTGCCAGTCACCAGTCAGGGAGGGGTTTGGTAGCGCGGAGCCTCCACAGAACCCAGAATCTGTTACAGTTGCAATTTCAATTTCAATTTCAATTCTCGACGCTGCCTGGAAAAGGTATTGACTTAGTCATAGACATGTCGGAAGTAGCTTGGCCCCGGTATCTCGTGTTGCAAATGCCATCCTTCGGCCAACTAGATTTTCTAGTAGAACTTTTTCTGATGGAGTTTTCTGAACGTACTCGTTATGGGACGCTGGGCCCGGTTCCCAGTTTGTGCCAATTTGTGAGGATATGGTTGTATCTATGGGACGCTGGACCCCGTTTCTCCCCACCAATAGACGGAGCTTTGTTTTTTCAAAAAAAAAAAAAAAAAAAGCCCGTTTGTTGATGGGGTTGGGGAAGGGTGAGGTAGTGATTAATTATGGTGTGTGTCTGTGTTTACTATTTTCGCTGTACACATCTTGAAAAGTGTGTGGGGGGGGTTCCTGCTGGTGCTCTATTCAGGATGTTCATGGGAAGCGGCCCTGGGGGAGCTGGCGCGCGTTAGCGCTAGCCCTATGGCTGGCGGGCCGCCGCGGCATGCGGATGGTGGCATGCTGGTTGCTTGCAGGCGAGGCGCTGGCTAGTCGGAGGTGGCGGGGCGCTGGCTTCTCGCGGGTGGCGAGGCGCTGGCTGTTGGCGGGGGGCAAGGCGCTGGCAACAGGTGAGTGGTGGGGCGCTGGTGACTTGCGGCTGGCGAGGCGCTGGCTTGGGGTGACTAGTAATACGCTAGCTGACACGTGGCCCGGTGCTGGCAGCCAACGAAAGGGAGGAGCTGAGGCGACGGTGCTGTGATGTTGTGAATTAGATGGGGGATAGCGCTTGACGCACGCGCGGTATCCAGAGGCGCTGGGTCATTACTACGTCACAGGCTGACGTGGCATCTGGCCTGAGGCTCAGAGGAAAAGGGAGAATGGTAGCGGCAGCTGCCGTTTGAACATTTTCCCTGTGTTTTTCACATGGTGCCCTTGATGAACCCCCCCCGCTGAAAACACGATGATGAAAATCTTGATGCTCTTGATGGATAACCTGCACAAGATAAAAAACAGACGAAAGCACATATATAGGTTGATGATGACCTCCTAGCCGCTCTCTTGATGATACTCTCCCAGTGGCACTGTGATGATTCTTCAAGTAGGACCAACGTTCTCCACACTTTGGTCTCCACGGGGCCATAATCCTCATTTGGTTACCGGTGGTAATCATCATCGGCTTCTCTAATTCGTCTTCCATGTTATTTATCTTCTTTTTATCTTCTTCATGATCATCATCTGGACTTCTCTGTAAAAATCATAATCATCCTCATCTTCTATTTTCATTACAGCAATAGTGAGTTGTCAATCTTCCACATCGATGCCATTAAGGCATCGCAAGTCCAATGTTCCTCATTTTCACCAATTTTATTTCATCATCATCATCATCATCATCTACCAATCTAAATCTTTATCATCATCATCATCATCATCATCATCATCACGGTTTCTTTATTCATTTTTTCATCAATCAGTAGTTATCTCTGTGTTGGTGGTTATATTCTCATCTCCCAGATAGGCTACGGTCTAGTTGGTAGGTAGGTTGGTCAGGAAGGGAGCGCTACTCCGCAGGGGTAACACAAGGTGGGAGGTGATTGCCCTCCAGGGAGTAGACGCAGACGATGGGAGTTGACCTGGGTTGGGGCTGGGAGATATATATGGGGCCGCATTATCTCCTGGTGGAGGCAGACTAGGTCAGAGTGTTAGTTTTGAGGTACACCTTTTGGGGGAACTGGTTACCTCAAGGTAGAAGGGAATGGGGAGGCTCTCTCTCTCGCTGGGGCTGATAGGAACTTCATGCTGATAGCGGGGTTGGGCTCAGCGGAGGCAGCGAGAGGAGAAGAGGAAATGAGGGGAGAGGAGGAGAATACATGGAAGAAGGGAGGGGGGGAAATAAATAATCATCAGCGTCGTCATCTTTGTGATCTTCTCAGGGTACTTGTCAAATTTCATCCTCAGAAAGTTTTGCTGATCAGGATTATGATGTTATCAGTCCTTGTTTTCTGGTTGACATTTTTTTTTTTTTTTTTTTTAAACACATACCCTCCCAGTGCTAGTGCTGCTGATATGAGCAGACACCACTAGCACCTAGGGGTAGGCTCCATCTATTGGTGGGGAGCAACACCTGCTGGAAAGCGGGTTCCAGCTTCCCTTACACAGATTGTAAGTGGCCCAGTTGTAAGGTGAGGCCTGCCAGCATTGATTGCCCTGTCTCCCAGGGGATTAACTGAGCAGGCATTCGACATGGTAAACAGAAGGAGTCGGCCTCTTCAGCACTCAACTTGGCCGTCAGATAACATTGATAATCCTAGCAGACCCCTCCTCTGAGGGTTGTTGTGTCCCCCCTGCTGCCCAACTCAGTCCCTTCCGTACCATCCTAAGTCTACTATACAATTGGAGGGGGTGCCTCCTACTTCCTAATTGAGTCTTCTTGTGTAATGGCCAGGTTGAGTTGGTTCCAGAACGACGCTAGCCGGCGCTGGGGCAGTGCCTTATAACCTGCTTGTGTAGGAGCTTGAGGCTTTGTATAGAGGTCTGGAATTGCCGAGGGAGGAAGGGAATCTGCAAACTTGACTAATGGCTACAATCTGGCCGACGATGGTCGGAGCTGGGGTGGGTAGCGCTGCCCTGTAACCGAGCCAGATTGGGGTGTGAGACCAGGAAGACGCCTGATTGATGCACAGCACGGGCTCAATTGTGATTGGTTGTTTGGAATGAATACAAGAAACTAGTGATAGGATAGTAATTCAGTGCTGAGTAGACAATCTTTCTGATTAGTCATCATCTAGCTCTATTTCATGACCTCAATCACCCACTCTGACATCCTAAATCGTCCAAAATGATCCTCAATCATCCCAAATTTTCATCAATTGTCAATCATCAATGTATTCCCATTATAAGGGACGCTGGGCCCGG